AAGTGCTCCGGCAGCAAGACGCAGGGCTGGACAGAGGATGAGGGGGATAAAAGGAGGAAAGATCCATTAGCTAATGGATGTCTTCAGACCTGTTTTGTCAGACTTGATATCATACAGACATTTGCACAACAGTATATTCTTTGTGAAATGCAATGAACGAACACTTAGCAGACAAATTTTTAAATTATACTTAAGATATGGTCACAGGTAATCCATAAGAAATAAAAAAAATCAATTCACGCTGAGCTTCAAATTTAAAATGTGGATTTATGATCGTCATCTAAAGACTGCTGTGTGTGTGTTTGAAGAGAGAGCCTAATTGGTATCAATAGGACATCTGTGTCTCCTCCCTGATGAGGCCTTTAGGCCAGGAACATGACTGCAGCTCCTCACACTTTTCCCCCAGCCCCATATTTACAGCCCGCAGTCTTGCTGATGGCAAATTGCAGCAAAATGCCCGTCTGTCTCTTTGCAGAAATGGGCTTCATTGCAGCATTTGTATTGTTTATGAACCTCCCCACACACACTCAAGAACATGCAGTTTGTGCAGCCACATTGTTGGCAGTACTGGCGCAGTTGCTCACAAATTTAAGCTGCTGGAGACAGAAAAAGCCTAAAGTGACCAGAAATAAGATGAAGAAAAATAACGAAAACAAGAAACAATAAATCAGTCCCCTTGTCTCTATGCGAACTTCACAACAGGTCTCTAACCCTGGAAGACCTCTCCAGCAACATGCGTTCACAGAAATTGAGCCAAACATTTAAAAGTAAAAGCTTATATTTCACAAGTGACTTTTGTGGCTTTGCCACTCACAGTGGAAGTGAAAACACACATGGTGAGATCATCATTGTGTCAAAATTATCATTGTGTAACTAGATTACAATAAATCAGGGAATCCTTTCTTCAAGTCCAAATCAAATCTATCCAACACATCCAAGATGCACTGCTGAGTTATGAATTCAACTCAAGTATTAAAACAAACAGCAAATAGAATGTATTTTCTCTCAGAAGTTTAATTGGACACAAAAAGAAACTGATGTGAAATGTTGTGAAATATTTTCTGCAATGTAATGTCTTGCTGGATACTTTGGATCCAAACATTTTGAAAATGCTGAGATGGGACTTTCAAACTGAACCACAGTATAATTTTGAACATCAGTTGTTTTTCCTCCTCACATTATATACATTTGCATGAGCATAAATGTTTGGATTAAATGGCTGATTGGAATAAAAATGTGTAAAAGTCAAAATATTGTGATCTGTTTCAACTTGAGCGGAACAAAGTTGTAATCTGCAGTACTGGGGTGGTTCATGCATATAAACACTTATTCTGAGAATGCTATTCTGAATGTGGCAAACTGGTCTGACTCTGCATGTTTACAGATGGAATTGCAGCGGTTGAATGGTGTTTATTTCCTCCTGCTCTCTCATCTGAACACAGGAAGCTCAACAGCATGTGTTGCTTAGCTTGTAGCTTAATTAGGGGGTGCAGTAACATCTCAGCCACTATTAGAACCTGGCACAGGTCCATTCTGGGTAATGAGAAGATGGAGCCACTGTGTGTTTTTTTATGTTCAGCACAGATGTGCAACTTCTTCTTCTGTGTTTTTTAGGAAACGTTTGTGCCCAAATAAATGATACGGATTATTTAGTCTGAATACATTTTCCTCATGTTGCACATACAATGACAAAAATATCACTGCTACAAAGTTCAGGGAGGGATGCTACCACCTTCTTTAAAATAAGAAAAAAAAATCTTATGTAACTCTGTTATTTTATTAATTTAATTATGTATTAGTAATCTAGTTATTCAATGTCCCATTTGAAATGTCTGATAAATAATTGATCTAATCTTAACTTTTAACAATTTACTCTAGTTTTTACCTAAATATTACTGTCCATATTCAGCTCTAAGGATGAAAGTGTTACTAAACTGAATAAAACCGTACTGGGCTTGTTTAAATCATGATTTATATCAGAAGTGGTTCACAGGTTGAATCGTTTCATGCATTAGTTAAGCCTGGAGTTCCACAAGGTTTTATGCTTGGACCAATTCTTCAAGTAGTGATCTGGGAATATTATTAAAAACTCAGATTTCTACTGCTATGCAGACGAGGATTCTCTGTTCTGAAAGTAGGCTGATAAAGCCTCCCTCTAGTCTTTTGTTTTTGAACTTCTAAAATACTTTTATTGTGTCTGTAGATTCTAAAATATTTTCTTTATCTGGATTTAACTGTTTCACGGTTTGTCTGGTTCTTTAGTGGGATTAACCACTGCAAAGCCGCAGGTGAACAATTGATTTCTCAATTTGTGCACGGGACTAATCTGGAGTTATTTTAAGTTCTGATTAGATTGGAGATTTGAAGAACATGAACAAAAACTGTTTTGAAGAGATGAAAGACCTTTAATTAAATATAGTGAAAGTCAAAAAGTTATTTTACACTCCAAGTTTCAAAATAATACAAAATCAACTTCATCATCTTTACAGTAGTTTCCTCTATACTATTCCTCCCCACTCTGATACTGCTGATAATTTTAGGCTCACAAACACAAGCCTGAATGCAGACAAGCCCAGATAAATCATATTAATGTTGACAGACAAGTGCTCTGGATCTTACTTGTTTAGGCAAAACCCTTTACATATATTTATTTATGTAGGCAACAACAGAAAAAAAAGATCCTTCTGCTTTTAAGCATCACATTTCAGAAAGAAAAAATCTGTTCTCTCATACATTTACACACCCACACAGTCACTCACATTTAACATGACGAGTGGTCTCTAGGCCCATGATTGAGATTAAATAAATAGGTTGGCTCATTTCTTTTAAAGAGAAAGTCAAGGAAAGCAAAAACAAAGTCTTACTAGGACAGCAAAGTGAAATAATAAAGTTTGTAAAAGCCTGAACAGCAAGAGAAAAGAAAGACAAGATAACATTTTTCCTTCATTTCTTTCAGGCCTTCAATAAGAAACGTTGATCCTAATTAAACTCAGTATCATTAAAGACAAGCAGAATTATAACAACATATTAAAAACGCTACATCTAAATAACACAACAAATTATGATAAACTGAACAAAAACAATACAGATGACAAATTCAAAAATATCCTAATGTCTTCATAATAAAAAGTTATGCCATGGCTTATGTTAGCTTGATTGAAATTAGCAGTGGAAATATGGCTTTTACCAAACAGACACTGTTAGACAAAAACAAATAAATTCAAATGATAAGACAGTTTTTTGGGTTTAAACCAGAACAGGTTCTCTCAAACCTTTTAAATACTTTGCTTTTATCCATATTTCTGATGACTTCAATATAGGAAAGGGGTGCTTCTGGTCTCAGAACATTTTATTACAAACAATTTTGCAAGTTACAAAAACAGTATAATCATATATAAGCTGTGCATTTTTGAGTTTTATGTCCAAGTAATAATTTAACCAAGTTTTGGTGCCAAAAATCACCAGCCTGGGGGATAAACAGACCAGATTTCATGTGCATTCAATGCTCCAGGCTTAAAAAAGAAATGTTGACATTAATCCAACTGTGAGATAAAGTTCATAAGTAGCATCAGATATTTGTGTCAATCTGTGAAAAGTTAACCATCCAACACATCAGATAAGACTGCTCAGTCAGATAAAACTTAAAAAAAAGATTTTGGCAAAATGGTGTAATTCAGTTAAGACTGTTTTAGCAGCACACACTACCGGGTTACAAATAGTTATTTTATTTTTTAAAAAGCAGCTGCGTGTGAAATTTCTTTAAGACATCTCACTGATAGTTTCCTGCACTGCAAAAAATGTCTTCCTTTATTCTAAGAAATGAAAAGTAAATGTAAGTGCTTTGTAAACATGTGCAGAAAAAAGAGAAAAGTCATTAAATTATCCCAAAAAGTTGAATCTAAATAGCATATCTTATCACTGGTGTATGAAACGTTAGACTTCTATGTTTTTAGAGACACAAGATTTCAGTTTTGATAAAAGGCCAAGCTCAAGAAAACTTAGTTGTTTATATCAAATCAGTTGTTGCAGAATAGAACAATCTTTTTATGCGTCAAAGTTTTATGTATCTGTGTTGTACTTTGACAAGGCTATGCTTAAAATAACATCTCAATTTTAAAGTTAAGCCTAAAACTACTCATACCTAGGGCAGATTTAGATTTTAAATATTTCTTTGGTTTGACCAACTCATATCTTTTGACCAGACAAAGTTCTGGTAACCTCAGCAACTTGAAGTGCATCACCAAATATAAGTCATCCAATTTATATAACAGAAACATGCAGAAAGCTGTTATATTTCATTGCTGTAGTGCTAAAGATTTTTAAAATTAATTATTTAAAAAAAGTTATTCATAATTTTCTACAAGCAACTTCTAATACAATCTCAATCTAATCAAGGCTGTCAAAACATTTGTTAATATTTTTTGAATATGCTGGAAAATTCTGCGTTAGACACATTAACAGCTTGACAAACAGAAACAGAAACTATTTAGTAGAAGTAAAGACAGCTTTGCCAACAGGTGGAACACTAATCATTAACTCAGGTCATTTGTCTCTGAACATTAGCACTTATACCTTAACTTTATTCACTAGATGTATGGCACCATAACAGTGAGATTAATTAAAATGATGCAACATACCTTATAATCATCTTAAAATAGAAATGTTTCCATGGTACACAACTTGTTAAAATCACACATGCAGTTTTGAAGGAATGGAAGATTTATTTTATGTTTTCACTTCAGTGGTGGGAGTTTAAAACTAAAACATAAAACAACAAACCAGCAGGCTTTTTAAATCTGAAAGGCATTTTTTGCAGTGCAGCATGTTTAGTAAGTCAAACCATTGGCTTAATGTTCTCCTTTGGCCAATTAAACGTGTCAGACGACAAGGACCAAAGACAGAAAAATTAAGTGTTTCATCCTGTGTAAAAACAACACAGCAATGCAAAACGACTTAAAAAGCAATACAAAAACAAACCTAATTCACACAAAACACTTAATAATGAATGTGTCTGAATTTAAAACTGAATTAGATCAATTAGTAATTGGCAAATCATGATCACACCTGATGGAGCTACATTCATTTGAAGTCTTTTCTCCTTAACTTTTTTTATTTAAAGAAAATGTATCACAAGAGAACCACAGAGAAGATGCATGAGACGAAAGCTAAAAGTAAACGTTTGAATTTTTCTGAATGGCTGATACCTCAGCAGAACAATCAAAGTCCGTCAACTCAAACAGTTCAGTCGGCCGAGTGATGAATGAGTAGTTTTGGCAAAAAACAGAAGAGAAGGTGTGTCTGTGAAGGTTTGGCTTGTCTGTGTTGGCTGCATCAGGCCTGTATGAAAGCATCCTCATCACCATCAGGTCCTTTTCACATTATAATCCTTCATTGAAGACAAAACTCCATAAATAGAAAATCGCTCCTGTAGGTTACATTGAAAAGAAGGTCATCACATGTAGCACAAAAAAGAAGAAGAAAATCAATCTCTGAAGAGAGGAAGTGGATTGTGTCCAAAATAAATTTTTTGTGACCATGGAGAGTCATAATCTTGGATGTGGCAGTTCTCCTATAAAAGCATGACATTGTACAAAGATTTCTACAAACAGTTTTGCTGTTCTCCTTGTATTTTTGTGTTAGAAAGGGCCTGAGTTGGTTTTGTTCCTTCAGATCTGGATGGACACCTCCATCCCCAGCCGGAGTCCGTCTCGGAGCAAATCCTCCAGCGGGATCAGCGAGAGTGTGCTTGACTCATCTTACACCAACAAACACACACACAGAATCACACGCTCACACCTTTACATGGGTGGGACGATCATTCCTGGGATTGCTGCAGGGTGGAGAGAAAAGTGGAAAGAAAGAGAAAGAGAGGGATGGAGGGGTGGACAGGGTAGAGGGAAAAACAGATTTCTCTTTTTTAATTTTCCATTTCCACATTTGCATCAATATGTTTAACCATCTGTGCAGCTGTGTGACTGAAGTGACATTTTAACAACATCAATGGAAAAATAAATCAGCAAAATCAAGTATGAGAGCATCACATACAAAGAGCGCTGTTTGTCACGCGCGCACACACACACACACAACCCCACACACACACGCCCACACACACACACATTTAATTATGTGCAGTTGCCCTTATTTAACTGCATGTTTGGATGTCTGCCTGACATATTGCATCATTGCACGTGTTGTCCTAAAAGCTAGCGGACAGATGTTGATGCGCGGGAACAGAGCCCTGCCCAAAATGACACACTGTCATGTTTGCTTTAACGTTCATTACACTTTATGAGACTGAAAAATAAATAAATGTCATATATTGTCTGAAAAGTAGTGTGTTAAAATCTGAACATGTGTGTAATATCTAAAATTATTATTTTATACACACTAAAGAAAACTGGATGAATTTATTTTCAGCTTATTTTACTTGGAGGCCCCTTGATAAAAAAATCAGTGTAACCTTCAGAAGTTAAGACTCTAATTTAGCAAATAGAGTCGACATGTCTGAGTGAAGGTGAAAACAAATGGATGCCAGACTCTTCAGGCCTTTTTAAACAATGAAACATTTGTTTTAGCACATTAAATCTGAATAAAATCTATTTATTGTGATTATAATGGAACAAAACGCTTGTTATATCTATTTGCACTATGGGTTTCTCGACTCTGTAGCCAGGTGTTTTCTATTGTTGAGCATCCACTGCCCTGCATGTTTTAGGTGCATCCCTAAAATAAAAAAACAACTAAAAAACAACATTTGCCTGAAGTTTGTCATCAGCTCTGCTGAAACTTTAAGGCACAATTATGCTAAGGAATGGAGATCATGGCAGGGAACCACCATGAGAAATTTGAAGGAAAAAAAAGAAACATTTTTTCAAAATAATTTTTCACACTGAGACTAAATCAGAGACTTTGTTACCAAATAATCTGTGGGGCAAAAAATCGAGCTTGTCTAAATAGAAACCAGGAGCCAGGAGACGGGTTTCTATGCTGTCAATCACCCTTCGTGTGGTGCTGCTCATTGCGTCTTTTCCTCCTTGTTCTCTGCTGTGCTGTAGCTTTTTATGAATGCTCAGGCTAGTTAGCCTAGCCACTGATGATGGCGGATAAATGTTTTTTCTGTAATGGTAAGTTGTTTTACCGCCATTAGCACATTGAGCCACGAGTACAGGAGGTTAATTTACAGCGCTAAGACACGCCTCCTGGCTCTGATTGGTGCATTTCTTCAGACGGCAATAGTAGCTCAAGGAGGATGTGGATGAAGTCCATTTTTTCAAAGATTATCTATCTCATAAAATACTGTCACACCATGGTGACAGTTTGAACAAATATGTAAAAAATCAAAACAGAATTTTAAAAAAATTAGACTGCAGCTTTAAAAGATTGGGAACACATAAAGTGACTGTTTGAAAACAAACTTTAGCTGTCCAGAGTTATACATTTTAGGGGAAGCATGAAGAAAAACAAATAAAAACCACAGGAGGTGATTTCAGAAACCAATCAGAAACATTGGTGGGTTTTTATTCAAGACGGAAACTGCTGATGGACAAACTTCCCAGTGACACAGAAGTTGACTTTTCCATTTGAAATAGTTTAGTAAATTGTGTGCACATGTTTGTGGTAACAATGGTGTTTCTACCATCCCTACAGAAGTAGAATTTTGATTCTACTGATAAGCAAAACACTAATTGTGAAAAAATTCTAACATTTAGCTACGATAAACATTTTTTAATATATTGAATTAGCATAGACTATTTATTGAATTAGACTTTAGCAGTTCTACAAGTGAAATCTTCTACAGATTTCCAACTTCACAAACCAAAATCAAGCCTATTATCTACTCTGTAAGTATGATTTCCTAAGATGATGGAAACAAAAATATTGCTGATCTGTTTTTTCTTCCAGAATCACCTGACAGGTGTCATAGATAAGGAGCAACTTCACATATTAGTTGCAGTTTGTTGCTAGAAAGTGTCTGGTTTGTATTTGATGCAGGTGGTGTCAGATGTAAATATTTGCAAAACGCACAACAATCACCTTATGCAACAAAATTTATCCCCTTAAGTTATTCTTGTTAAAATAAAACGGCCTCATGAAAGCAACTCCAACACCAGCAGGGCAAAACTCATCTCAATGTCTTGACTAAGTGTCGAGTTACTGTTGCAGTCATTGAGCGAGGCAGGTACACTGACAACACAAACTGTGGAGACTGTCGAACAGCTGTCATTGCTGATCACTTCCCTGTGAGCTGAACGTGTGAGATCACCCAGAGTGTGACAGAGGAAGAAGTGTGTGAGTGTGTGTGTGTGTGTGTGTTGCAGTAAGTGGGGTGTATTTCTTTTTTTTTTTTTTTTCAGATGCGCTTTGAGGCTTCGCTTTGAGTTCCCACACCCCCACACATGCTCGCTCCACACGCACAGCTAAACAAAGTCAGCGATGTTGAGAAATAAATTCCCTGTGCCAAATGTCTGTTTCTGTCTTTGTAAATAACCAACTTCCTGCCTCTCTTCCCAGTGAGAGGAGAGGAAGGAGTTATGAGACAGATGGTTAGATGTGTAATATGAGCTGAGGAGTAAAGAGAGAGAATAAGGATGGAGGAAATTATTACGTACACAGCATGAGTGCAGCGGCGTGCAAAACTGTTCAAACGCCACATCTTACATTGCATTTTAATAAGATTTTATTGAGGGATGCAAGATATAACATTATATATTATATTTAATGTTATATCTTAACAAATAGTCACATCGTGTCTCCATATCATTCCAAATATTAATATCTGTGCATCCCTAATTGAACACATTAAAAATAGTGCAGGAATTATGAAGTAGAAGGAAAGGTATGCTGACAATATTTTTCACAAACAAATAATTTTGATGTGCATTTGTATTCAGCTCCCTAAAACAATCCTTTGCAGAAGGAGGCCAAATGATTCAAATTTGGTCTCATCTAACCAGAATATGGCCTGTCAAATTTTGACTGAATCCCTACATGAAAGGAAACTACAAACAGGACTTCTGGCCTGATGATATCAATGCCTTTTTCTTCTTGCCACTGTTTCAGGAAAGTCTGATTAGTGGAGTGCATGAAGAGTAGCTTTGCTAACCGAGCTCTGAGTCTCTGATGCTCGTCTCCAATGAGCCTTTTGGCTGATTTATCTTCTATTTATCAACTTAGGGAAACAGTCATGTCTTGGTAGGTTGTTGCAGTTATGCAATAATCTATTTCTGGAAGGTGAATTGAATAGTCTCCTATAATTTGCTCAACGTTTGGAATATTGTTGTATAACTTAACTTCATCACAGTTTTATCTCAGACCTATCTCATGTATCTTAATGAAGCTGATTGTTCAAAAATGTTATCCAACAAACACATTTTGAATACAAATGCGATTCTAACTTCTTGGATTTTTACCTTTGAAAAAATAAATTGAACAATGTGCATACTTTCCTTTCCACTTCAAACTTATGTGTTACTTTGTGTTGCATAAAATCCCAATGAAATGCTTTAGCAACTTGTTGAAATATTTGAAGCTCAGAAGCAAGAAACAAGAGTGGAAACTCAGTGAGTTAGTCAGAAATTGCAGATGCATTAAGTCAACAGAGGGGACAGAAAGGCTGAGGAACATACTTCAGGTGAAGGCCAGGCCTTGTAGAGAGCCGGCTGATGAGTACTTGCTAGAGTCCACAAATGTTTGATCTGGTAGAAAAAGGCGGAGATGGAAGAATGGGAAGAAAGGGATGGTGAGAAAGGATAAACAAGAAATAAGAAATAACAAGATGAAAAGTTCGATAGTATCAATCACTGTAATCCAGTTGTTAATCACAAAAGGAGTAACAAATTACCTGAAAGAGGAAAAGTCTTTTCAAATTACCATTAAGAGTACAGAACATGTGATCTGCTAAACATTGCTGTCCATCTGATTTGAATGTTGTCTAATGTTTGTGCATTACAGTAGAAGACCCACTGCTGTTCAGACTTGCTTTAAATAATCTGGATACTGTTGTTGGTTACTGAACCAGGTTGGTTTTAGTGACGCGGGCGAGTCCCAAGGATGTTGTTTTACATATAGTAAAAAAAGGAACCTATAAAACATTTTCCAGCTTTTCCTGTCCAGAATCAAACATTATAGCTGTGCATGTCAAAAATGATTCTCAGCTGACAAAAAAACAGCCTGGGAAACAAATATGGATGCCAGATGATGCTTTAATATTATTGTCAGATAAATCCCATGACGAAGGTGGGGGGGTGATTTATTGGACTTTTGAAGCACATGTACTATGTGCTGTGTGGGAAAGTCCAAAGAATTCATATTTTAACAAGAACAGACAGAATGCAAAAAGCACTCCTATTAATCATATTTTCCATGTTTAAAAAGTGTGAAAAGTTATTTTCTGAAAGCACTACAAACACAGATTCTTCAAATAAATTATCATCAACTTGCTAACCCATTAAATCCAATGTTCAAGTCAAAAATACATTCCATTAGTAGTGGCTCAGCAAATGCCTCGTCGTAAATGACTCCAAATGGTAACGGGGTAACAGTCTTGATGAGGGCAGTCCTACTGCAAAGCATGAACAAACCATGCAGCCTCAACTCCTCAATACTCCACAGACAAAACTGGAGAGCCAACAGGACAACGTAACACAATACGGAGAGATGGGCATAACTAACGCTTATCCATGCCAGCAGCTTTTAAGTTATCCCTGTCTTGTGATTAGCTAACCTGCAATGCAGATCCATGCTCAACCTATCAGAATATCTTTGAAAAAAATATACTTTCAGTGTTTCATTCAAAATTTAAACTGCCTTGTTGATTCTGAGACGTCTGACTGACTGATAACGAAAATCCAGAATTTATGTTGTAGCTGGACGGCTACTAAAATGCACCATCCATCAAAAATCCATAAAGAATGTGAAACCTCCAGCACTTCCTCCTGTGAAAAGTGGTGAATTCATACATATACATGGGAAATTTATTGGAAGGAGAATCTGTAGTAAAAAAAATGGTAGAAAGTGTATGGATGACAGAAAACAATAAATCAGATTATATTTTCTAATTTGCACTTTTGAGTGGTTCACAACATTATCCCAGTTGGGTGTGTTAAGTAACTCTAGAAGCAGAGGGAATATTAAAAAAACCGGACTGTTTTTTTTTATTTTATTTTTTCATTTGAATATTAAACTTCCAGAGTCAACCACAATCAGAGCCACTGTGGTAAATTTTCTTTGCCTTTGATTCAGCTGAATCAAATGTGCTAAGTAGCATTTTTATAAGTACTTTTGATTTTTTTAAATGTTTAAATAATAATGAAAAAAAAAAAAAATAAAAAAAAAAAAAAAAAAAAAAATATATATATATATATATATATATATATATATATATATATATATATATATATATATATATATATATATATATATTTTTTTTTTTTCAAACCTTATAGAAACCTTATTTTAAAAATGATTTCCCTTATTTTTAAAATAAAGGAAACCATCCAACTCTTAAATAAAAAAGAATTAATACATTTTCTTCAGGTTCAATTATTATAGAAAATGAAAAAAGTAAAAAAACAAGTAATTTTTAACCATTACAAATTTTTTAAAAAGAGGTTATTCCTAACACTGTGCTTTAACAGAAACAACTTGTATTAACTTTACATTTTAAAATAAAACTTCATTATTTTACTTTTTGGCTAAAGTTATTTGGCCATAAAGACAACTCATCTGGAGAAACTAGAAAGCCACAAAATTTAAGCAGAACCAACAGTTCTTGAATTGAATTCCTGAAATAATTCATTTAGATGATTTTCTAATTTATCGAGACACGAGAACTGAGTTGTTTTAAATGAATCTTTCATCTAAACATCCAGGAATAATTGTTTTTAGAAGGAAAAGCATGCAAACATATTATGTGTAAAACATTTTCACATCGTATCGGTGCAGCGCGGTCAGTTACCTGGAAGTCCATTGCCATTGGCACTAGTGCAGGAAGGGGGAGGAGAGGACGACGGCCTCACCACCGGGGCAAAGGCGGACTTCTGTTTAACGGCCGCCGACACCATGTTGGCCGGGGAGAAGGAGAAAACCCCAGAAGAAGAAGAACAGTTGGAGGGAAGAGATGTGGATGAGGCCATAGTGGGACTGGATGGAACAACTGATGGAGAAAAAAAAGGCAAAAAAGGAGAAGAACCAATGAGAAAAAAAAGTTTTTGATTGCTACATAAATCTGAACATATTTTGCGGTTAAAATAAAAAGATTATATGACTTAAGAGACAAACAATGTATTGATGTGAGTTTTTTCTCTGATAGTTTATAATCTGTTAAGCGTCCTCCCATGAGATTCATTAAAGCCCTCTGAACAGCTTGTCATTTTTTGTTATTTAGAAACATGTTTCATTACAACACTTGAGCTTAATGTTCTGCCTGAGTTTTACATGTATCTCAACAGATGTATCCAATTACAGCTTCATAATACAATATTTACAACATTCTCAAGTTATCATCATCTGTGAGTTGAACAGACATAAAGATCTGACATAAATAAACCTGTTAGTTCAGCCTCTTCTCATCGCAATCATCTATTTTTATACCAGTTAAACATTTAAAGCCACATTTCTTTGAGACACTCCTTCCTCTTTGCATTACTCTTATTTATCAAATCATTCTCTCCTCGTTCTTCCAGTCTATTAAATAGGAATATGGTAAAATGAAACAACAAAAAGAGAGAATGCTTGACTTTCAGATAAAATAGAGCATTAAATCCCATCGGGAATCTATATTTTTTACTTGTGTCGGGACGTGTGTATCCACAATAGTTTGTGTATTTATCATAATGTGCTGAGTGGACAATGCATGTGTGCACTAACTAGCATAAGGCGAGTTGGCGGCGGAGCCGTTGAGGAAAGTGGGCGAGCCTCCGAGGTTGGTCATGCCACCGTTGTTAGCGTAGCCGTTCATGGTGCTGCTGACTGAGGTGTAGCTGGTCTGCTGAGGTGTAGAGCTGGGCACATAACCGTGAGGTGACACGCTACTGCTGCTGCGCACAAACCCTGCAATAAATACCAACATAATGAGGACAGTCAAAAAAAGTGTTGTTGATGAGGTGAAACTTCCTGCTTGCAGAGATTAAACAACCAGATTTAGATTCATTCCAATTTGATCCTAATTAAGTCAATCAATTATTTACTCCTAATTAGTAAAAGGTTATCTTTCTAAGAAAAACTGACTGCAGTTTGAGGGCACTAACATTGCAGAAAACCTGTTTTTATAGCATCTATATACATACTGATATATTGATTATTATTATTTCTGTGTTTACTGTTTCTTTACTGTCATTGTAGATTATTTCATTAACCTTTCAAAAGAAGGAGCATTGTATCTCTGCTAATTTCCAACTACATAATCTGCAATCAAGCTTGATTTAGCAAATTATGAATTGGTGAAAAGCCAGTATAAAAATGAATCACATTTTTGTCTCCATGTTTTGAATTGTGCCATGTGAAAAGAGTAAAGATGTACCCTGATTGGCTTGTGACGGTTCCGAGACGTTGACGGACAGCTGTCCGGTGAAGGAGTTCACTCCCATCATGCCTGTGTGCGTCGAGCCGGAAAGCTGGGTGTGTGTTCGTGGAACGCTGTAGAGAGCTTCTGCGATGTCCGCTGCTCGTTTCAGGATGATCTCCTGGGAAAAATGCAACCATGACCCCAGTTTCAGAACCTGTTTCCAAGCGGACAGCTGGATGCGTTAGGGTATGTACCTGGTTGTTATGAGGCAAACCGTAGAGGGCTTCCACCAGATCCGCTGCTCTCTTCAGAATAACCTCCTGTGAAAAACAGAAAAAAAATGATAAAATATCTGAATTATAATTATTTGCCTGAAGCTCAATCTTATTTAAAACGTTGAGTGCCATTTGCTTTTTTCTTCCCTTTCTTAATCCATCTCTTCATGATAAACAAATTGCACTTCACTCCTTTTAAAATGTAGATGATCGCCTGCCAACTTGAGTGCCTTTATGCAGCTTAACAACATCTTAAAGTGACAGGTATTTAAAATGAAATCTAAAGTCAATCTAGACTGCAAAAAGTTTCTTGGAAGCTTATCTGCAAATTCAGTTAAGCCCTTAGAGATCCCATAAAAGGCCATTTGATCATAAAATGCTCTGTCTTTTTTACTCATCCCTTTAAAAGCAGGTTGAGTCCTTGATCTCTTTTCTCTTTTACCAAGCAGTTAGTGAAAAATAAAAAGAACCCTAAACCAATCGAATATACAAATATGTTAAATTTTTTGTGCCAGCCTTGTAATCGCCACAGCTTTTTAATAAGCTTTTGTGATGCCTTTCACCTTTTCCTCCATCCAAAGTTGAAGTTCTGCTGTTCTCGTCCTCCATGGTTGTTACCTTTATTATCTCTCCTCTCCTCACCTCCGACGGCCCGCCCCGAGGTCGAAGGTGTCTTGTTTAACAGTTAATGTGTTGTCGTTTTCACAGCATGAGGTGACAGAGAGAAAATTACTCTGTACTTCGCAGAGTTAACCTGCACTGTGTGACACTCTCACACATGCTTCGCCGCATGTATGCTCTCCTGTGAGTTTGTGGCGGTGGAACATATTGCCTTTCCATCAGGGCGTGCACATGTGTGTGTGTGTGTGTGTGTGAGGATATGAAAGGTCTAACAGCCAGTCAGCAGATCTTATGTGCCTGTCAACTGAGCTAAATTCAATCTTTTACAGATTATTATGTTCTTGCTGCCTCTCTGTTAACCTCTCATTATTAGGCGAGCTGGACCACTCACAAACACACACACACACACACACACACACACACACACACACACACACACACACACACACACACACACACACACACACACACACACACACACACACACACACACGCACACGCATACGTATACACACACAGAAACCCGATCCCGGGCGTTGAAGTGGTTCCGGTAAAGCCAGTCACTGATAAACGGGAAGGAAAGATGATCCTCTGGTAACATCATCATCATCATCAGGTCTGCAGTTTTGTGGAGCTGCATCGTTCAAATCTTTTTACTGCCTAATGCATTGCACTTTGACTTTTTTTCATTTTTATCTTTCATTTAAAGAGAAAATCCATCAGCTAATTAATCTCTTACATGTGTGTATTTGTAAATAAGAAGCATTTTTGAGAAGGAAATGTCTGGTTTTAGTTTCACATTTAGGATATTGTAGTCTTTATAATCCCTTAATTAATGCAGATGAAGTTGCTCCCAGTAGCATTGTGTTTATGCAGCTTTGAATGGAAAAAAAGATTACATTCTCACCTGTAATTAGTTTTAGAGTTGATTAAATTGAAGAATATCTGCAGCAAACAAGAACCCATACATTGCAAAACCTATAACTGAACAAATGTGATTCAGACCAGATTTTTTTTCCTTTGAATTGGAAAAATTTTACCACAAAAATGTAGCATTATTCAACTATTATTCCAGACATTTATTTAAAAAAACAAATGAAACAATTATTCTATAGCTTTAATCTCTGCTTTTTATATATATTTTTTTAATTTAGCAGATGTTTACCTGTCTTTTACAACTTTTATCTCAATGTGCTAATTTACCTAACTATTTCAGTCAATAACCTTTCTTTCCCTTGCCAACTCCTGGGATCTGTCTCAGGAAAATATGGAGAAAACTGAGTCAGACAGAAAAGACATTTTATTGGAAGAGGGAAAAGACTCACAGGAGCTGTCAAGGTGCTTTTAATGTCTGATTTATGAGCTGTGCTAAAATGATAGCCATTCAGTATCCACGCACACATGTTGTATGCATTATGACTAGGAAATGTTGGGCTGAGTATCTGTCGGGGTCACATGTGTGTGTAACGTGCATGTGCCTAACAAGCACATATATGACACATATGTGACTTATTTCTTGCTAATGCTGGTACATTAGCAGCTTGATCCGCATCTAATGGGCCATTAGGGATGCCGTACATGGAGGGTCACCCTTCCCATAGATATGATGTCATGCTTTTCACATGGGACACAATTGCACACATAGGAAGTGGTATCGACATGTGTCCACAAATTTTCTTTGGTCATCATCTCTGTTGTTAGATGGTGGTTCAGATTTCATTGCCTCTCCCTGGTGGTGAAGTCGATTTAAGTGCATGAGAGTCACACACTTATACATCTCAGCACTGCATGTATGTTGGAAAGTTTCACGTTCAGTATATCTTCACGCATCACCTGCATTACTCACACTCATCCAGGATTACTCATCTTGGTGCTGCCAATGATGTGACCTCGTGAAGGTATGACATCAGTAAAATGAGGTGCATAGCGATGTCAGCAGCGTGAGTCACATAAAGAAACCACCCATCTCTAACCAGACCACTTTTTTCTGCTGATGCTACTTTGTTGAGACATCACTCTTCAGTGTCTACCTGTAGTGAGTTTATTGGTTAAAAAGTTATATATTAGACTTTAGCCCCAGTTTGGTCTCTGTATGTTCAGTGACAGCGCCTCAGTGTTCTTCCACATCAGGACAGAGTAAATTACTTTGGTTGTGATGTATTATTTCAATGTTTCCAAGTTCTCAAAGAAAACCTTACAGTTGGTTGAAATTAATGTTAATTGCTCCTGACATCCTATTCCCCGCCCTTGATGAGTCCTTTGCATAAACTTTGTGTAAAATAGTGATTGAGTCAAAATTTTGTTTATCACTGCAGATTTGGAGCTTTTGGATACCGGGAACTTTTTCTTTTGAACTTGTTTTTTTTTTTTTTTTTTTAAATAATTATTTTATTTGTGAGTTTATTTCACTGTTGGTAACTGTGTGTGCTGCACAGATTGAACAGAAATCTACCAAATACTACAAAAATCTGTTTTTCTAAATTTGAAATAAGTTGTGGAAATTCTCACTTTTATTGCTGTGGTATTGAGCTGACAGAAATAAAATCCCTGTAGCCCTAGAAGAGGAAACGTTTTGTCTGATTTATACCGTAGTTTCAACAACTAAATGAACCAAGAGTCGAACCAGAGGGTCAGATGAGTAGTTTTTCAAAATGTCACTTTGTCCCAGTATGAAACAGAGAGTAGCACAGGGTAAGGTGCAAACTGTATGTGTCAGATAGATGCTGAGGAGATCACAATGACACAAACTGGCAGCTGAACGAGTGCCTGCCTGTGTGTGTTGCCAGTAAAATCCCCTGAATGTTCATTGAACAATTATAGAATCGGCTGTTCACTGGTAATCCTCTCTCACACTCCACTGCTCCGTCTGTCTGTCGTCTGTGTGGTTCCGCCAACACACTCTTAGAAATTATACATTGACTGGTTGATACTCGACAAGCAGCCAACACTGCATTCGATGCCAGTGAACAGAATTGCATATTTTTCACATTCAACAAAACAAGAAGAAAAAAAAAAACGGGAATCAAAATACTGTTGCAATACTGCTATAATAGTTACAGTTCTCCTTTCTAATACCTTCACAGAACTTGGATCAAAATCTTTCAGGAGGAAAAACAACATCTAAAAGCAATACTGTGTTTGGGTCCAGTTATAGTCATCATTCATCATTCAGGGATCAGGAAAACCTGATCCCTGATCGATTTGTGTATTTACAGCAGCATAACTATTCTCTTTGTGGCTTTTCCTGGAAATATCTTGGGTGACATCATGTTGCTCAAAATAAAACTTACAATGGGAGGGAAAAAACATGAACCAGAAGGATATTTCACAAATATAAGAAACTGCTAGCTTCAACTGCAAGATTAGGATTTTATTCTGTCGTCTTTTGTATTGAACCCCTAAAGTTCAAAACCTGAAACCATTTTCTGCAATGAACAAGGATGTAATTAATACACAACTGACCTGTGGAATCAACAAACCACTTAAATAGAACCTGCATGATAACATAAGGTGAAAGGTTCAAATATCTGGAGATATTTGGCACTAGTGGATTGATAAGAAAAATGGGAATATTTTAGAAAGTGTTGCTACATCCGACATAAAAAAATACACAGCATTACAAAAAAAAGAGGACATCATGGATCAATACAACAAATAAATATCCTGGTACCAGTATGATGATCTGGTCCAGGGACCTAAATGACTTACCTTAATTTATGGAATGATGAATAAGGTTCCCTACTTTGAGGAATAAATGAACTCACTTCATTGTACATTAGTTGTGACTTTAAATTGTCCGATCATAGTTAAACACACTGCATTTTGGGTGAATCTAAACAATATACACATTTATTTATTTGCCTTGTTGCTGCTGCTGAAACATGCAGTCATAAAGTTTTATGGGGCAATTACTTTTTTAAATTGGAATATGTTGGTTTGGATTATGTTTATTTCTCAGTAAGGGGCCAGTCTGATAACTTGACTGGAAAGTATGATCATGTTTTCTAACTCTGTGCAGAACAATGGCGTTGCTTCTTCTCTCTAACTACTTACATATAAACATTTAAACGCAAGAAAAATTGGCAGAACTGGTAGAGATGTTTTACTTTTTCTGACCTGAGTTTTAATTTCACACCCAGAAGGAAAGGAGAGTCCCATCAGAAAAACAAACCCTGGCCACGTATATATAAATAAAAAAATCAGTAAGAACATAGGGCTTGCATTTGCAGATGCAGAAACATTTACAGTATTGTTTTTACAGACCGTTTTGGTGTGTTCAGTGTTGCACACATTCCCACAATCATGATGTACACTGTGTGCAATTGATAACACATGTGGACGAACGCAGGGTGTTGGCATGACTGTGTTGACATCAGAGCATCAACACATCATCACATCATGACCAGCGCCCATTATTTCATGATGTCACACCAAAGACAGCCTTTCTTGGTCCAGCTCCAAAACAAAGAGGAGTCATTCAGCAGCAGCTGTTTCAGGAGACCGCCAAATCCCCCCCACCTCTCCCAAAAATTCAAATTTCAATCAGGTTGCCGAGCCCTCACATGAAAACAGCCACACCACGAGGAGAGTCCTCCTGCATGTACAGATCACGATAACAGAGTTTGGTATCAAAGCACAGCTCATCGTTTGTTGTTAATTATTTACATCTGCTGATCTTCTCAACACTTTGTTTGAATTTCAGCCAACGAACAAATAATCAAATATGACTCTCTGATCTGGAAAAGAATCAATCGCTCTGTTTTTATGAAGCTCATACGATGAGAGTTCATCGAGAGGTAAACGTACAACCCACTTGAGATTTCAAAACACATATTTTGCTTGGCAGAGTAAAAAGAAACACAAACATATCTTTGCATTCTGTCCTATATGTTAATGCAAAGCTTTCGAACTCAAATATTACCTTTTTGTATTTCCTTTCTTTTCTTAAGAAGTTTTTTTTTTATCTTAACTTTGGAAAAAGATCAAGCTAAAAGCTTTTGCTACCTTTGGAAGCCTTTCGGGGTCTCCAGGGTGCCGAGGGATAACCTTCTGAAGCCTCTGAAAACCATAGTCAATGGTTGGTTCGTTCAGTGCTGCAGAAAAGAGAGGAATAGAAAGACGATGAGTAAAATAAACTTAACAGAGATTACACTAAACAGTCCATGCTTTTCTCTGATACTATATTTCATGTAAGGGCAGATATCTTTCAAACTGACTCCAGCAGTTTGAAAATTAAAAGTATTTTGTTTAACAAGCGGACTTATCAGGTTCTGCTGCAGAAAAAAAAGTCAAGATCTCTGCAGAATAAAGGTCACTCAAAGTATGTATCATATCAGTACTGTCAATTTGCCAGTTTCAGGGTCAAATTATTTTTGCAGAAATAAAAACAAGTAACTTAAAGTGTTGCAAGAAAGTGCAGCACAATAAATATTAAATACAAAAAAACAGCAATAAAATAACTTCTAAAGCAATAAACCAGAATCTGAGAAATAGAATAACTGGAAAGTTGCTTGAAATAGACAACAAAAGCAGTGACATTACTTAAAATACAAAATAAAATGCAAGACAGAGACAATAAAAATAATATAAAACTAAAATAAAAGAGAGCTTTATAAAGTTGTGTACAACCTGCTACCAACCGTTCTCGGGACGTTTTGCCAAGAAATGTGTAAATAATCTGAACGTGATGAAAGTATGAATAATTATTTACAGTTCAGGATGTGAGACAAAGGATCTCAGTTTGGCAATATTTGTTAAATGAGAAAAACAGGAATTTGACTTTTGCATCCAAAGTGAAACTTGAGTTATAAGTTAAGCCAAGATTCCTAACAAGATTTTGCCAAAGTACACAGAGTTACAAGATGCTCATTTGTCATCGTTCCAGCGAAATGTTAAGTATTTTAGTTTGTTCTTCATTTAATAGAAGAAAACTGTCTCCCATCCAGTGTTTAACTGTGTCTAAACTCTTTGCCAAAGTGTGGAGTTTAGAAATTTCACTCGCTCAAAGAGACATGTAGAGCTTCGTATCATCTGCCCAACAGTGATTAGAGAGAGATGTCTTCAAAAGCTGACACAATGAACCCAAAGAGCAATACAAACACAAAGAGTCACTGAAGGCCATTTTAAAGCTTCACATTTCCACATGCATTACTGATTGGATTTGGACAGCATTCAAAACAACCACCTGTCAGGGAACACATACATTGCATATATAGATTTTTGCTTTCCAAATATAGCTTCCTGATGCAACTGTAAATAATAGCACTGAGTGTGAAATGTATATGCCCAGAGAGTAAAGCAGAGGACATGTAACAATGTATCCCCATCAAGTAACTAAAAACCTTTTTGCATGGATCAAAGTCCTTTTCCAAAAACATGATAGCTTTCAAGTGGTTCATTAAAAGCTCTTCATTCTCTCTGCTTGTCAGAATAAAATAATGTCCATTATGTGTCCACCACTGGCCCTTATTCTGTTGCAAAACTTTGCACCAATTTTGAGAGGATAAAAATTTCACAGCACAGTGTTTCACAAATAGCCTTTGTGTGTTATACACAGTAAAATATGGAAATTAAATTTAGCTGGTTAAACATCAGTCATAAGTGTGATTATAAAGCTTTCTGATCTTACTTTCAAAATGTTACATGTTGCACTTTTAACACTGTTCTTGCTGGTGTTTAGCCCAGCTGTGCAAATCTAATTAACACACACACACAATCCACACATCTGCAGGAATCAGCAGGAGGGAATCAGACTAGTGAGGAGAAACAATCACTTCTCTTTTTGTTTCAAAATACCCCACTGACAGGAGGTGTTTATATTTCTGGGCTGAACTTTGTTAATATATTTATGTATATCTTCTAAGTTATAGAAGAAGTGGGTTAGAGAAGTGGGCATGTGCTTTTATATTTAAATCTGCGAGTCATTTGCTGAGGAAAAGACATCTAAAAATGATTAATCATGTTGTTAAAGCAGGTTGAGGCAGGTTTTTTATTTTGGATGAAATAATTTCCTGTTTTCCTCCAGTTGAGCATTAAGGCATAGAAATAAACGTCATACAATGGTATCTTTGATCAAGATATTCTTCCAACAACATCAAAACAAAATGGCTCAACAATAAAGTCCAGTTTTCCCTTCTCACCATCTCCAACTCTTACCCTTCACAGTAAGAGTCTTTACTCTGGTGTGAAACGTCTGTGTGCGCCACACAAGTGAATAAACCGAAAGATGCTTTCAAATCATCAACAATTTCATAGTGAGATCCTTTCAGTCTTTTTACACGCTTGTTTCAAACTGGCAAGAAATTAAGAAACTTACCACTCACTGACAAACTAATTAATTTCATTTAAAAATGTTTTTTAAAATATAAAAGTAATGGGAATAATTTTTACCCAATGCTATACTTAATATAGCAGCGTGTATTTCTTAGCTTATTTTTTAATCCAAGTCTCAGATAAAACACAAAGAAAAAACATCCAGCCAGAAAAAAACTGTACTGCTCAAAAGAACAAGCAAAAAAATAATAAAAAAAATAAAAATAATAATGATACTACAACAAAAATCAAGAAATATTTAGTTTTTGGCCCCTTTCCCATCTGGTTACAGTCAATCTTTGGTCTGCAGGATTTCCAGGACATTTTGAGAGACACTGGACAAAGAAAAAGTTTCTGTCTTTTCAACTAATACTCAGGGGATTTTTTTCAGGGATGCAAAGCTGGACGTTTGTAAATCATGTTTTGAGATATTTTTTATTGCGTTGCGTCAAAATTACAATATATGTGGTAACTTCAAGTGGTTGAGTCGGGGTGAAGCTACTTCCTTAGTGCTGCACCAAGAATATATTATATTAAGGTATTTTCCACCTAAATGACACCACAAAGGTTTTGTTACATAATAATGATAATGAACAGAACAAAGCTTCCAAAAAAATGTCATCTTCTTAGATGACTTCAAAATCAGCTGTGATTCAGTGCAAGCAACTAAATACATTTTATATATACATATAGATATATGTATCCTAAAAAGCTTCAAACTGGTAGTGTCAAAAACATCTGCATGATAATAGCAGTACAGATACAATCAGAAGAGGTTTTAAAGAACACTTAAGGGCCCCTTTAATGCTCCAATTACCATCATCCAAAGTCTTTATCCAATCAAAATGTCAATCAAGGAAAGCTCTGAAAGCTCTGTCTATCAGGATAGCATCAAAACGTTTGAGCAGTATTTCTGTACTTTTTTTAGTTATTGACAAATGCTGACTTATGTCATCATCACATTGTTGAACCCTGAAAGTTCAACAACTTTCAGCAATAGGCGAGGTGGAGGTAGGAAGTTATGCTGGATTAACATGGACTTGTGGGAACCAAAGGGGTGTGTTTGCATTCATGAAGTCCAAGAGTGCAGCTGCGGCGGTGATGTTTGGTACTTTCCACAGCAAGCACTGATAAATTACTTGCAGATGAATGTCCTTTGCTTGTTGTGCAACTTCTTTTAGCATGTGTGTTTTAGATATGTCTGTGCTATTCACACATCACACCCAAGTCTCTGGTTTCTGTTACGTTCTCAACCACCTAATTTGTTCGCAACATTACTTTATAAATCATGTGCTTTGGTCCAGATGTTGAGCTGTTGTGGACAGCATTTCTACGTGCTTAAAGGAGGCCCTTTGGGCACATTAGGATTCTGTGATTTATTGATGGTAATTATGTGGACATGAATTAGAGGTAGAAAAGGGCGGGTCTGCGTAGGAAGAAAAAAGACTAACACAAGAAAAAAAAGAACAGAAAATGCAGATTTAACCAAGAGGAACAATCTTCTAATTTAATCTTAATATAGAAACCTTAAGATAATGCAGTATCTGTCTTGGTATGAAGTTGTCACTTAATTTGAAAGCATTTTTTCAGAATGAGGAGCCAGAATTAAGTAATTACTCTATTGAACTAGGTTTTGAATGGTAGAGCAGGTGCACAGTGTGCATATCAGTTCTGGGATTTAAGGCTTTCCTGTTCCTTTCATGTCAAATTAGTGTAATTTGTTGAACCCAAAACACCTTAGAGTTTCAGTGACATTCCAACAATTAATAAAATGCTGATACTGTCTTCATCTTTTCTCTTCTTTTTATTTTCTTGTTTTAGTTCACTAAGTAGTTTTCTGACATGTTGCGTCCTAAAACATTATAGTATTTTCGTTAATTTTGTCATTCTCTTGGTTTTAATGAACTGCATGACATGTGAACACCTTGACTTATTTAGATACATCAAACCCTGCAAAAACTTTGTCTTATTGCACTGAATGTTGGTTGTTTTAAACCATCCAGATTGTTTTGTTTTAATTAAAGACAGCAGTGTTTCTGACAGAAACAGACCAAAAGGGAGTGATGCGAGTTAGAGAAGAAGGGTGTGGAAAGGAGTAAAGAGGAAGAACTTTGGGAGACAGACAAAAACAAAACAGAAAAAGAGCATGCAGTCATGGTTGAGGGAAAACAAAAAAATTAGAAAAACAGCTGCCTAACAGTCGGCGGGATATCAACTGTCAGAACCAACTGCCAGTGTCAGATCCTCTCTCTGAGCATCTCTGGAGACGTTTAACCGATGCCAGCACTAATATGGCACACAGAAACACACAGACACAGAGATAAGCGCATTCATCACATCACAGCGCAGCTTAGATTAGTTGTGATGATTTAAGCATCTCAGACTGTCTCATTAATAATGGAACAATGTTTATTTAAGAACAAAATGATGTGTGAATGTTTGCCTGTGTGAATTTAAAATTAATCCACAACTTTTCACACAAACTTTAATGTTTTTGATTAGGATTTTATGCGGTAGAGCAACAAGAATTGTGAAGTGGAGGGAAAAGACGTGTGTGCTATGCCTTTATATTTAACCCTCTTTATTTTGATACCCCAAAATAAAATCCGTCACTCTTCTTAATTACAAAGCAGACTCCACCTGTGTGCTATTTAATCTCAATACACAGATTATCTGAAGGTCTCAGAGGTTTTCTGGAGAACATTCAGGAGCAAACAGTATCATGGAGACCAAGAGACACTGAGGACAGGCCAAGGAGAAATTTGGGGAGAAAGTTTAAATCACGGTTAGTTTACAAAACAATATTTATAACATGTTGAACAAACCAACACGTGGCAATCCAACTAATTTTATTACACAATAAGACCAATAATCAGCAGCCAAGAGGCCCATAGTTAAAAAACAAAACAAAAACAAAAACAAAAAAACCACCAAAATCACATAAAATCACAGCTGTAACTGTAGTTAAAGGTGGTTCTGCAAAATATTAACTCATGAGGGCTGGCGACACATGTACACCACACTTTTCAGATATTCATCTCTGAGAAAATGCCTTATTTGTGCTTGTATATGACATAAATTATGATCAAGGTATGAGTGCTCATGCAAAGCACCGACTGCAGACTTAAGGTCATACTCCACCCAAGGATTTGTACAAAAACAGAATCAGTATCAGATCAGCAGAAGTTGTCGAGTTCATTAAGTATCAGTTTAAAAAGTGCAAGTAAAACCACCAAAGGCATTCTGTCCATTAAAATCCTAAACACTTATTGTACTCCCCCCAAATCCCCCAGTGCTTACTTTCCAGATTTGGACAAACGAAAAGCAGATGTTTTTCAGAGTAAAATTTATTGTTTTGTTTAGCAAGAACTGCTCCGGCAGAACACATAAAATCAGCCATAAATATGTTGTCGTGGCACATTGTTCACAAAACACAACATAAACACTTCATCAGAGCGAATGACACTGAAACCTGAACCTGTCTCATCTCACTAATTCTGCCTCCCTGCTGCTCCCCTGAAACCTTCTCAGCACGAATCCCTCCAACTCTGCTTTACCACCCCCATCATCCCTGTCTTCTGCTTCATCTCCTCACTCCTCCTCCTCCTCACTAACTACACCTTCTGCCACTTTCACCCACCCGTCCGCTCAGCCATCACTCCTCCACGTCCTCCTCCTTCAGCCTTGTTCTTTCCCTCAGAGTCCAGAGCCGCCATCAGATCAATACTCATAGAAGTTTCATGAGGACAGACCATCCAGTGTTGCTCCACCATGAAATGTGAATGGAGGAGAGAGAGAAAATAAAGAAAAGAGGGGAATAATAGCAAAAAAAGGTGAAATCTGAAATATTACACAATCAGCTTCAATACAATTGTGTTTTTTTTCCATCATCTTTTGGGAGAACTGAGACAAAGGAATCCACAGATGGGGGAACAGGGGGGGCGGAAGGCAAAAGCTAAAACTGGGTGGGTGAAAGGACAAAGAGGACTGATGTAAAAAGAGCAGGAGGAGGAGGAGGAAACGAAGAGGAGGTGTGGTGATATTGATTCTCTGGCCAGCCAGCAGTTCAATACCACTGAATTATTGCTTCATTCTTCCCCTTATGAGATGAGATCTCTTTCTCCTGAGCTCACCGTCTCTCCGCAGTTGTACATGTGTGTATCTGCATGTGTGTACCACTGTACTGTATGTGTGATCTACTTATGAGGGGATCAATACTTTACAATCTGGTTTTTAAAAGTCCGTCTGTCTTTCTGGTGCTGTATCTCTTTTACTACACTTCAACTTCTTATTGTCTCCCTTTGAGACAACAAAAGTGAGACTCAAATGTTTGAAAAAGAGAGAAAGTCCATTTTTTTCCCAAAGTTTGATATGCTTTGCTGAAGGTTTCCTGTCCACGACCTGGCTGTAGATTTCCTATCACTGCTCTGTTTCCTTTATCTGTGTTAATGTTGGCAAGTGTAAGCATTTATTGATTGTCACTTTGCACCGTTGAGTGTGTTTACAGCAGTGTGTGATGTGGAGAATGTTAATTTTTCCCATCAGGCGGATGAAGCAGCCATACGGCACCATATTTACTTGTGTGTGTGGACTGTTTCAATGTGGCAGACCATCTGTTAACCAGACTACTCACCATCTTTCTCTCATATCAGTCTGATTTACAATTACTTTCAACTCCTGCCCCTGTTTGAAAGTGTGTGTGGTAAGTTGTGTAAGACATGACCCTGCTAGTGTGGCGTTCAGGGTTGCTTTTCGCATGTGTGTGAGACCGTGAGCATGTTAAATCGCGCAGCCCTCACACCCAGAGGGAACCACAGCAAGAGGACTGAAAAACCACAAGTAGCCAATCAGCTTTCACTGCCAGGACCTTCCTGAGACAAGTCAACCTTGAGGCGGGGTCATGCAACCGTAGTAACGGATCGTGTTTCCTGGGTCGCATGTTGAAGCGATCAGCCAATCGCCAGGTCACCAGGGGTCACCACCGTCCAATAGGAAAAGGAGTTGGATGCCAGACAGACCAATTACCTGCTGGTTAGCCCCAGGGTTGGTCTAAAAATGTTTTAGAAGAATAACACTAAAACAGGCACACATGCAAGTTTTGAGAAAGCGCCGATTAAAACCAAAAGAAAAATTACAGCATCATCCAACTGAAACATTGTTTCAGTTCTGCTCCATGTCTGGTATTTAGGATCGACAAGTGGTGGTGGGTCTCCAGAACCCTCTACAAAAACACAACCCTTAGAGAAGACAATACAAACAACTATCTACAAAAACATGGGAATAAATGGCTCTTTATGCTACTCAATGATTTTCTTATCATTTTCCTCACTTCTTAGTGGTAAGATCCTGACTTATGAGGAAAGAGAAACAATCTCTATTCCCGAAGGGTACAATGTCTTGTCTTTCCCTTTTTGTAGAGCAGCTAAGATAAATTAGCCTCTATTGTTTGTCCCATAGTTATACCTCCAAAAAACAAAAGGTAAAGATACATTTAAGCCCAAAATTTGGCAGATTTTGATTTAAGATTATATTCAAGAACCAAGAACTTTGTTTCCTCTATGAAATGACTCAGTTATAATGAAACAAGTTTAGGAACAACTGTCATTTATAAATACATAAATAATCTTTTTCAACATGACATTAGTCAAACCTAATAAAATTCACAGCATTTTGCATTTTTTCCAATGCAAAGCCGTAGAACCTTCTTCCTTTAAATGTGTTATTTATACACATTTGTATTTAAACAAGTTTTATCACAAGTATTTGGCCTCATCATAAGCACAATTGTTTCAGTATGTAAAGCTTTCTCAATCAAGTCGTGGGGTAAATTTTAAACAAACCTTCAATATGTTTCCAGAAACTCAACTGGATGTTAGCAAGGTCAAGAGCTGCAGGAGATTTATACTGCAGGAAATGAAATGGCAACAGCATTTGTGGGACAGAGCTTTAAAACCTTAGCTTGGTATAAAAAATATTTTAGAACCACAATAGTTCAAGTCCATGCAGTTTTTAAGAGGGACAATGTATCAAACTGCATCACTGTATGCAATACAGCAATCCCATAAGACTGCCTACATTTAATATTTGGCTGTCTATAATATATTACATACCATGCATTAATATTATGTGTGCAGGTAATATATTTAGCCAGTTAAATGGAATTTCACTGCCCCAATGCCAAAATCCAGTATAAGTTTTACTGAAATGTCAAAAAAGGACTGGAAGTTTGACAACAAATCTGGGTCAATCACAAATCAGATTGTCTTTGCAACATTAAGTCAGAAAATTCCATCTGAATGTTTTCCAAATGTTACATATCCCTATAGTCTCATTGTTAATTTGATTTGTTTAAAGTTGTAAAGTTTAAAACCACTGAATTTGTGACTTAGGTCTTGGTTTTCTAAAAAAAAAATATCTGCATTACAAAGTTTAACAGGTCTCTCATGATTTGTTTTTTGTCATACTTTTGTCTGTCAGTTTTTTTCTACTGTTGCGACATGAATTACTTGCTAAGTGTTTTAAGAATGCATGTTATCTATATCATGATCACTGGATATTATAGCTAAACCAAACCAAGACAATCAATTTAAAATACGCTGAGAAATTGGCCTCAGACTGGAACGATCCCTCACAGCAGGAAGGCTAATAAAAATGACTTACTCAGTGCTGTTCTGATGATTTCTTATAATATAGTTCTTAAACTAAGAACAGAACAGGATAAAATGTGGATCAGCAGGACAGAACTTTGCAAAAACAAAAGATCGGAAATCAGCCACAACGTTGAGCTCAGTTAAACTTTATAATCAACAGAAAAAATAAACAATGAAAACGAGAATGTCAGGAATATAGTTTGTAAAGAAATATTATTTCTTCCACGTTTTACACAAGAAAGCAGACTATTTATTGTGGAACTAATGCCATTACTACTTAACACGTCATCCTTATTGATCAGGTTTAAATCCTTATCTTCAGCTAATAGATGGAGTCATTAAATTTCCACTGCCTCAAAGTGTTTATACAGCAGCAAATACTTCCTTTCTCCTCGCTGTTTGACGTCATCATTATAGTGTGTTGGAGCCATGTTGAGCAGCGGATCAATACCAGACATAACATCACCTCCACTCATTTCCAGGTATACGTTTAAAAAAGTCCAACACACACACACGCTTTCTTCCTCTCCTTTGCTCAGTTCAGCAGGAAAACACTCATTCACAGTGAACAATCCGCTCAGAAGTCACACACTCCTTTTCAACATTGTGTAGTTTGTGGATGCTGTATGTGTGTGTTTGTGTGTGAGTTTGTGTGTGTGTTTGTGTGTGTTAGTAAACTGGGTGTTCTGGATGATTTCACTAATAGTTTCAGCATGCAGGCATATAAAGAGCAGACTGTTTAATTGTAGCTGTTTTTTAACGAGCCTCTGATTATGGCAACATTCTAACGAGTGTGGGTCGTTAATGTTGACTAATCTGCAGTCATTAGTTCAACACTGTCTGGCCTGAGAGTGAACTGCAGCTCAGAGATGGCATTCAGACACACACATACGAAGGCATTTTCTCAAATACAAATGCAAGCTGGCGTTTCCAAAAAGCAACATTGGACCTAGAAGTTAAACGTCACTCAGTCAGCAGCCTTTGCAAAAGTGCTTCTACTGTCTTCTTTGGACTTACCGGTGTATATGAACCTTCCTGGTGTGCCTTTGCAGAACTGTTTGGACTTGTAAGATAGAGTGACCTCTACGACCCCAGGGATGTGTCTGGGAGGTGTCTGCACCCGAATGGCATGTGGCGTAATCAGCTGCAGGACAAGGAAAAAAAGAGTCAGTGAACAAAGACCAAATTTGAACATCGACATTTCAAATCTCGAGTTTTAAGTGTCTGAGTCATGAACGACTAAAGCGAACAGACAAATTTGTTTAAATGGCTCCTTTGCAATGTTACCACTATGCTTATCAAAGCTTCACTGGGATGTTTCCAGTTAACAGAATATCCCTATTTACACTGGAGGTTTCTGAACCATCAGCTTCAGCCTGGCCTTAACCATTAGTGTTTTCATGGGCTTATCAGCGGCATTAGAGGATGGAGGTATGAACACTGCTGAGTCTGCCATCTTGCACAGGAAACAAGAGCACAGGTTTTGATGAGCATCTTAGGGGGAAATCTTTTGGGAATCCAAAATCTCGTTCCATCTTTGCCAATGATGCATAAGTTTTCTTTTTGGTAGAGTAAAAACTACATCTAGCATTTAATCAGCTATGTGAATAACTTAACTTCCCCCAGTCTGTAAGCAACCACCCCATATGTGCAATTTGGAGGTGTAAACATTTCTACTGATGTGGGAGCTTTGTTTACAAGGGTTCCAGTTCACACTGTTCTCTGTGTAATGGGAATGACTGTGACTTTGTTTTACTGATGATGTTGGATCTTTTGAGTGGCTTTGTGAAATTCTTTCAGTTGTTGCCAGAATAAGGGAGCACAGGATGTCCAGCTGCTTTGCTTCCAAGACTGTTACAATCATTTGTTGGGGATACTGCAAGCCTGGTCTAAGTGTAAGAACTTTGTCGTGTGGGCAGCCCTGCTGTAAAGTCTCAGATGACACCAAATGCATGAGCCACAAATCATTTACTATTTACAACTAATTTATAAGCAGGCAGGTGCCAGGACCCTGATATTCTGCTATAAGTTCACCACCAAAATGCCTGCTGGCAGCCAGGTTTTCACTAAACTAATGATTTTGTTGCATCCTAAAAACTAACTTACAAAAAAAAGGCAAGAAAATGTGGCAGGTGGGCCTTTTACAGAATAATTTTCTTGAGCATCAAGTGTTAATTAATGTAATAATGGTAGAAATATGGAGATTTTTTTTGAAGTGGTCTTTATTATTTTAGATCAAGATGTCACTGACAAAAGTAAAACTTCTTAAAATAAAGTGTTTGGCACAAAAAAGGTATTTATTTTTAAATAACCATGGTTTTAGCATTCATTTTGATTTGATTGTAGATTGGCAGGTGCATTTATTAACTTTTGAGGCACTTGAAACTGAACACCAAACAAATAATTTCAGGCCTAATGCAGAAGAATTATGCAAATGTGGTTGACAATTGTTTCCTTTTTTACTATTTTAGTTTTAATCAATAGAGGCAAAACAGACAAAAAGGGCATAAAGACATACAGATTTGATGTAAAAGTATTTTCAGTGAAACTTCCAGCTTGAAGATTTTTGCTCATGTGACAAAAACAAAAATTTTCAAAAGGGAACAGAAAAGTTGAGTGCAATCACAAACTCAGAGAAATCTACAGGTAGGAAACAGATGAATAAAAACTGGCAAATGTGCAATAATATCTCACACACTGATGTAGCTCAACTGTGTTTTCCTGCCTCGCAATCAATAACCAGGTTGAGTGCAAATGAAACATTCATCTGCCAAAAATCCCTTTGAATGCCGCCTGAGGAACGCTCAGAGAGCTGAGTCAGTTTGAACTGAGACTCTGTACACATGTTAGTGTGCGTAAGTGCAGCTCTCAACACTGTAAACAAACCCCTTAGCCCTTAATAGACACACACATATGCACACACACACACCCATTCCTGTATGTACACACACACACAACTATACAGAGACACTGTTGTTGTTGGACGGCAGCCACGGTCACTCGGCGCACACCGTGAGTGGAGTCAGAAGACAAATAAACATTTTGTAGAGGAGTGCAGAAAACTGTGATAGTGAGCTCTATGTATGTGTGTGTGAGTATTCAGCCGATGGCTATCAGCATGTACTGATTTGATCAGTGCTCTGAAATAAAGAGGGAGAGGGAGCACGGGTGAGGAAGGTAGAGAGGGGTGGTGGTCTCTGGTTGGTAGGTACTCATTAGAGAGGTAAACATCATTTAAAGAAACATTAACACAAACACACTTCCTTTCTCTCTCTCTCTCTCTCTCTGTCACACATAATTAAGAGCCAGACGGTGGAGAAAAGCATGTATTCACATTAAATAACTTCCAACAGAGCAATGACTGGAGCTCAAAGCTAAAAGGCTGAAACAACGCGGACAGACTGACGAACTGACCTCGCTCCAAACCAGCATGGTACCAAAGATAACTTGGAGGCCATCAAAGAAGTTGTCTCCTATGATGATGACTGTAGCGCCCCCTGTAGTCCACCCCTCGCTGGGACTGATGGCCTTAATGCAGGGAGCTGCTCCTGGAGGGAAAACATTTTAAACAATGACACATCACTTTGATCTAACAAGCTTCTGAAAATAAATAGTTGTGAAATTGTTTCACTTTTATGAAAAAATGTTACTCCTCCTTACAGAGCATAATGCATAAAAATTAAGAGATAGAAAACTTTTGAACAACATTTAATTTTAACACAGCAAGCAATTATCATTTTTTTATGTTTTCATCTACCAATACAGATTTACGCCAATTCTGAATCCACTTTAAGAACTATATTGTAAGAAGTTGCTCTATATATAAGTCTCAGTGTTAAAAAATCTGCTCAACCAGAATGTTTAATTAAATCATTCTTTAATTATCTGTTTTGTCATCAATCATGTGGATTCATTTGGATAAAAGGTGAACATTTTATAAATGTCTAAGGTGGTGTGGACAAGACCTGAGTGTGTTTATCCAAAGTTTGACTGACGTGAGATTTTAGCTGATATAAAAACACTCACAGATGGTTTAATGTGCTTCATATTACTTAAAACAGAACAGATTCAGTCAGCTTTGTGTAGCTTTAATTCTGACTATTGTTAATTCAAGCATATTTGATCTAATCCCAAAGGATAACAGCAAAAATCTGCCTGTCAGTCAAAAACCAGCTCTCACTCTGATGTAAGTGTGCGATTATCAACATTCAGCTGAAATACAACAGCTCTGAGTCTGGGTTTGGTCATGAGAAAAAGTGTATAATGATATTAGACTAGAAACACACACATGCACAGCAGCACACCATGCACTGTGTGTGCTGTAAGTTGGATTAGCCAGATGGAGGGGCAGGAATCACCTGATAGGATTAAACCATCAACCATCTGGCAGCCATGCTGCTCAAACACACACACACACACACACACACACACACACACACACACACACACACACACCACACACACACACACACACCCCCCACACACACACACACACACACACACACACCACACACACACACACACACACACACACACACACACACACACACACACACACACACACACACACAGGCTGGTGTTACCGTGTTCTAGGTAAGATGGGGTTCCCTCCACGGGGTCGAGTCTGCGAGCCCGCCGGCCGTGTTTTGAGTTGTTGTGGACAAACATATTGTCAGAGACTGCCAGGACATGTCCCTCCACACTCACCGTAGTTGACACAACCACCTAAGGAGAAGCAGGGGGTGGGATGAGGTGATAAAAGAGCAGGGAATCATAAAAGGAGAAAGGAAAAAGATATAGGAAAGAGGAAAGAGGTGACAAGTGAGGAGAGGACAAAAAGAAGAGAACATCGAAAGTCAACAGATTGTCGCAAAGAAGAGTTTAAAGCATTAAGCTGTGAAAAGCTCCTTAAATGTAACCAGTTATCACTGCTATTACCATCACCCTCAGTGCAGCCCCTGTGGCTGCAGGTTTGTGTATGTGTGTCCATGATGAATCCAGCCTTTAATTATCTCCCAGGGAAACAGAGCTGTCTTTTTCTGGTTCCACTACAATAGAGCTGCACAATTAGAGGTGCAGATATGGTCACACACTTGCTACTGTTTGACTCTGCCTGGTCTGTCTCAGTCCCCTACACACACATAAAACCTCCCTCTCACACACACAAACGTACATGGTAATAAATCTATCAGTATCTTCTGGGCATCGCATATATCCACTCAAGCCCAAGTGGTGTCTTCCTGATTGTGTTGCAGCCATGAAGATAAGGAAATAATAATGACTGCACTGTCTTAAATCTTACACACAACCCCTCACCTCATTTCTTTATCCTACTCCCCATCCCCCTCCAGTCTGTCTCCCTGATTTGTGGGTATATTTATGTTATGACTAGTCAGAGGTCAGGAACTCAAGCTTCCTGTAAAGGCACTGATAGCTTATTTACTTACACACATTCCTGTGCTAAATTTATGTTTATTATTATGTGTTATGTCCATTGTAAACAAGGCAGGGAAGGCAAAAAAGCCAGACAAAGACAAAGAAGGCTTGTACCTGGAACCTTCTCATGTCTCTTGGGTTCCCAGCGTTCTTTAAGCAGTTCTGGTTGCACTTGAGGAAAAATTTAAGGAAAAATCTGTGGAGACAAAAAAGGTAAAAGCGCAAAATTTGCTTAACAGTGTAGAAAAACAAAGCTATTTTTTCCTTAAGGATCACAGTCTCAAACATGTACAAAGAAGGAAAAAGAGAATGAAATAAATTTTTTAGAGTTCCTGGAACTGAGAATGAATCTTCTTGTGAAATTTATTTTGTTTTAGTTCTTATATCTATAGGAGCTACTTTGAGATGGCAAATAAAGACATTGGATGATGGCTTAAAAGAAAATGAAAAGGAGTAAATCTGAGGAAAATCTAGAAAAAATACATGACATGAAAAAGTTCAAGTTTGAGAACATCTTACATTCAAGTTTTGAGTGTAAAAGCACAAAAACAGTTTAATAAGTCTTGTTTCACTAAAAAAAGCTTCCTGCTCTCCTTACTTTTTATTGTATTTATATATGTAAGCCAAAGTTGTTGACTAATTCTGAGTATGACCACAGTCTCCTAAGCTAAACTCTCTTACATTTTGTTAATCACGTCCACCATTATTTTATTTGGATTTGTAGATGAGAGACAAATTTTAGATTTTTTGTGAAAAGCAAATTAATAACTGGTTTCCCAGTTTTTATTTTCTCACATATATAAATCTAAAAAGCGTGTTGTGCATATAGACTGTTGAAGATGTTACTTACATTACGAACCTCTCTCTTGAGAGGTTTATTTTGTTTCACTGTTTGTTTCGATGGATTTTTAATTCACTATTACATCAGCAGGGACAAAGATCTCATGACATATCTCACAGTTTTTATTCTGCAGGTGATCCCTACATATTCACTCTGGTGTACAGACATGGAACATGTACACTCGGGTAACTTTGGCCATTTAAAACAGAACCACATGTTTATGAATCTGTTTTACAGAGTAAATCAAACTCACAGATGGCGGTGGACAATGTGAACCAGCTGGCCACCTTGGCAGAAGCATCAACACACACATCTCCATGTTCAAGCAACACGAATCACAGAAATATTTACACTGAATTCAGACATATGTATAGTCAGTCTTTACCATGCATCACAATTAGGTATTTTCTACCATCTATGGAGGATATTAAAGAATGACCCACAACAAAAGCATAAGAAGACGTCAAGCAAAAACTGAATATGACTGATGAAACAATAAATTAATATGTTAGGCTTCACTGCAGTAAGGATTGCACTTTTACTCTATTTGGGGTTCCACAACATTTTTTTCAACTTTTAAGATTTTGATATTTCTGTAACATCTCCATTCCCTCGTGACCAAGCCCAGTGCTTCAACGTTATAAATATGACAGCCTTTTGTGTTGGACCGGCAGGATAAAGCAGAGGTGTGCGATCATGTGCATGTGCAAACATGCACTCGGCTTGTATGTGTGTGACGGTGCAGCGAAGCTCAGTGGCAGGTCCGGGTGTAAAACTCTGCATTAACGAGCTCAGGCTTCGTTAGAACAGCAGCGCTGGGATCCTGAATGCTTAATTATACTGACCCCTCACCCCTGGGTGACAGCCTATCACAGTGGAGGACAGCCACGATGACCCCAGCTGACCTCTCACTGTCTAGTCCTCCTCACAACACTAGCATAGCGTTAACACAGCCACCTCGGCTGACCCTTCTATTGTAGATCTGTGTGTAAAAGAAGGCGACTGGGAAGATCGCACACTCACTAGTTCATGTTTCTAATACATGCTAGAATAGGAGCAGCAGGAAAAGTTCAGCTCTAGGAGAAAGTCTTGAGGTGGTTACAGTAAATGTGAACTTAAATGTTGAACATAGTAGTAAAACATAGAAGTAAAAAAAATGATAACATAATAAAAAAAAAAACATTTCCATGTTTATCTATAAAAGCAATTTCAGCACTGGTTTTGGTATCACTTTGGTTTTTAAATAACTGGTGAAACTGACAGTATCAGGATGTATGAAAACCCCAGAAAGTCAAACAATTTGATGACTGTTTACAGCAAAGTGTTCTTCATGCAGCCTTTAATTTGCCAAAAAACCAGAGCACCCTCTTTCAAATATGTCAACTTTTACACATGTCTTTTTTTTTGAATGAGAAAGTCACTGTTTTCACTTTTCCATAAAGGCCAGATATGTGAACTGTGAGACCAATAATTTCCCTGTTTACACAGCGTTCCACCTGAGCTGTGAAAATCTTCAGCTACTACAGAAATAACGCTGGGCTCTTGGCTGCTTCTCTAAACAACAATCTGTTTGTCTCAGCTTAGGCGGATGGCCATGTCTTGATTTGTTTCTTTCTGTGTTAAGACAATAAATTGCATTGTTTTTCATGAGCTGTTTCAAGCTTGAGATGTCATTTTAAAACTTAGCCATGTGTTATTCTCGTTCCCAACTTTATCCCTGACGTGTCTACCGTGTTCCTTGACCTCATGATGCAGTTTGTTTAATAATGTTCTCTAATGAACTTCTATGCCTTATCTGCAAGAGCCGTAATGGTGCTGTTATGTTGATATGCTATATGCCAACATAACTATATAATATGGTTATGTTGTAACGTTTCAGTGTCTTTTTCCTTGGTATATTTGCCTTTTGTGCATCAAAAGGTAAATTACTTTTTCAGAATGGTAGAGATATGCTTATTGCTGAAATAATGTGCGATCATGTGAAATTTCTATTGCTAAACAAATTCATAATCCAAATTATTTATCATTGGTTACCAATCTACTCAACTGCTCATGAGTGTTTTCTCTCATTGATATTAGACTATGTCCTTTAGATCTTAATGCATTGTAAGGGTATCCCTTTTCCTTATCCACTTGACCCCCGATGGCCCAATCAACTGTGCTATAAAAAGGCCATACAGTGACATCCATTCAGACACACACAGACACTTTGTGTGAATTGATTAGCTGGTCCAGTCCCTGGTCGTTAAGAGGCTCCCAATTAAAAGAGGCAATTATGAGAGTCTGGCTGATGAAGGGGGAGGGGAGTTCAGTCCCCATTTATTCCCTGGCTCACTCCTCCACCCCGTCGCCCCATCATGTTCAAGTGATAACAGCGCTGTTGACCTTTGGTATATTGTGAGTGCCACACTCTGAGAGCTGACCCAGGACCAGTCTAACTGGACAAAAACACACACAGCCCATCTGTTCAGAACCGAGTGAAGTACAGACATCTATGATCCAAGAAAAAAGAATCATTTGGCTCTCATTAATGTTGTGATTTTAAGTTAAACAATTGTTTAATTGTAAGAAAAAACGGACAAAAGAAGGAAAAAATACCAAATACATTCAATACATGAACAAACTTTGCATAACAGCATCATTTTCAGATTTATTGTAGAACATATGCATGCCCAAGATATCTAAGAAATCAATTGCTTATTGATCCTTTCACAAAATGCAGGTTACTTTTGAGGTCTGGTAACCACTCCTTTGTCGGCTGTACCCATTTTGTCCTGATAATAAAATCACCTGTGCTGCTGTCATAGAGTCCGTTAGCTGTAGAAATGTAGCAAACAACAACTGGATGCTGTTTTCTCATCCTGTTAGCCTTGGTGCATCGGTGCACAGCACAGAAACATCCATTATTCAGAGGCTGAGATGGCAATTATGGCTCAGAGCACAACTGACATTAATATTTAATATGTAGGACTAACACAAACCTGAGAGAGAGAAAGAGACAGAGAGAGGGATGCACAGTAAGGAGGAAGTGTAAGAATATATGGAGTGTGTGAAGGAGAAACAAGGATTATGGAAGTTTGTTTTGACCATGCTGCTGTCTTTTAAGCAGTTACAATACCAAGAAGGCAGCGGTGAAATGCAGGGGGAATTCCAGCTCAGTTATTTAAAAAAAAAAGAGAAAAAAGGTGTGAGTGTCTAAGACTGAATGTGTATGTCCGCTTAATTCCCTAAAGACCTGCTACTTTACTGAGCCAGGAATAACAATCCTGCTTTGGAAGAGAAAAATCTCTCGATAACCGACACACACACACACACACACACACACACGCACGCACGCATGCACGCACGCACGCACACGCACACACGCACACACGCACAGAGGCGGCATTCTGGTGAGCTGCTGCTGACAGGTGGAGAAATAGCAGAGAGTCAGTTTGTGCAGACAAACTGAACAACAGATCAGTGCTTTAGCTGTTCCTCCCTCCTCTGTCTCTCTGCTGTCTCCCTGTTTTTTTTTAAATGTCATTTTTCACCTGCCTGCCAAGTTTCTTGGCAAATCTTTCAGACAGAATGATGATGTTGTCTTCCACGAGGTGTTTGTGTGATACAACCTCCTAGTTTCTTTGTATCTGTAGTAGCTGCCAGGATTAAAGGCTGATTAAACCTTTTAAAACAAAGTTGAAACAATCCCACTGAATGCATATCATTGTGATATTTCATACTTCTTCTCATTTGTCATCTCAAGTAGCAAATTCATCTAAAGCGTGTACTCCGTGTTTTCCTCTCCGTTTGTTGATCCATCGGAGATTAACTTCCTGTTTCCTGTTTACACTGAAAGTTTGTTGTTGTATAAGCCTTGTGTCTCCTAGCCAACTACGCTAAAATAAAAACAGGGTTATGAAATGCCATTATGACTTGTGTTTACAAGTAAATAATGTATTGCTTCCTGTGGGAGAGGTACTTTTTCTTTGCTCTTTAACTGTGTTGTTTAAAAGAATTGTGTTTTTGCCAGTTAAATATATGAATATGTTATTGTTGTTGTTTTGGACACTTCAGGCATGATTTAATAAAAATGACAACTGCTGATAGAAAAGAAAAGTAACACTAATTCAGAGAAAGAGGTTGGTCCTCTCACTTTTGGAAATAAAATGCTCTTTTAAGAAACTAAATAGTTAATTTTTGTTAAGTTTGGGTTTGAAACTGGGTTTGATTTTCTTTTCATGCTTAAAATAATGAAAGAAAAAAAAAAGGTCTTTTTTTTAAACATTTCATGACAACCAAATTTTCCCAAAATTATGTAAATTTATTGAGAACAAGTAAATGAAATACTGAAAATATTCATCATATCAAACATA